TGAGATTGGTCAGAGTGTGTGTGTTTGCGCATGTGTTTGTGTGTGTGTGAGAGAGCGCGCGCGTAATTTTTCGTACGAAAACCAAATATATACTCATAAATTCATTCTTCTGTAACTTCATTAACGAAACACGCTACGTCTCGCTCAACATATGGCGCGCACTTTATTCCACGACTGTATTTGTCGTGCATTTTGGCATCGAATTTAGTCTTATGACTATGTGGCATTAACATTTTATGGTATTGATGTCTGACATTGGAATTTTTGACACATTTTCTTTAATCAACCGACTCCCCCATACTCTGTTTTTTCAATAACTTTACATAGCCTTTAATTATTGTACGTGTTCATTACAAATTTAGATGAAAGCATTGAATATTTTCTGCTGCTTCATTGGAGCAATATTCGCGATGCGATCACCGATCACCTTTCGGCCGAAACAAAATATGCGTGCGAGACCATTACGCAGCAACTTTTGAATTATTATTAATAATTACTTACTCGCGAACAGTTCTATTTAAATCAGACATGTTGACTCAACAGAAATAAACTGCCTAAATTAGACATACAAAAAAAAACACCGAAACAATTTCCGTGCATGAAATATTCTGTTTTTTTCTACGCAACAATGTAATGGTTATTGGTACAAATGTTCGGTGCCGATGATGGACAAGTTTCCTTTTTCGTCGGGTGGAACAGTTTTTGTTTCAATTCACACAAACAACTCTCACTTTCGGCCACACTCTGTTTTCTTTATGGAATCGTGAATCGTATACCACATTTGTAAAACAAAAGCGAAACGAATTCTTCTCAACCTTTATTCCGTTTGTTATTGTTGCTGTAGCAAATGATGTGTTGATTTTTGCAATGACTCAGTTCAATGGATTCCGTCAAAACGAAAGATTTATTTAATAAGAATCAAAATGGCACGGGAAATCGCACACAAGCGGAAAATAGAAATGATTTAAGAATGAATAAAATTGATTAAGATTATAACAATAATGTGAGAAAAAAACACAGTTTTCTTCTGATACAATTTAAATTGATTTTTTTTCTATTTTTTTTTGCAATAACAAAACAACAACGACATATGAAAACGTTCTTTTGTAGCTTCGAATTTCCTTCTATTTTTGCGCATTAAGTTAGCGTTTTGAACGAAAATCAACACGAATTCAATATTGAAATGTGCGAACATCTTCTAGAACATTGTAACGATTCAATCTTTTATCAATTCCATAATCTATCATTTTTTTTTTTTTCAATAGGTAAAACAGCGGTGACTGAGCACGTTTCACTTTTGCAACGGAATTAAGCTCGACCCTTTGGACATGGAAATAAACACTTTGCATCGTTTTAATTTTTATTCGTTTCAATTTTATATTTTTTTCTAAGCATTTTAATTATACTGTTTCAGCAAGCAGTTTTAATTCATTGCGGCAATGCAAGCATTGCAGTTTTAACTTAGTCTAGTAATTTTCTGAAATTATTTTTACTGACAATTTGTCAATCATCCAAGCACACAATGTCACTTCATTTCAATTTAAATGTAAAACTCCTTGTTGGTGTATTTGAATCAGAAATATTGATTCAAATGATGAATTAGGAAAGTTTCCAAATGTTCAATAGCTAATAACTCTAATTGAACCATAAATTAAAAGGAGAGAATTTGATCGTGTGCATCAGAAGAATTCCGTTGTTTTTTTTACCACAATATAACATGCCGGAGCTAAAAAGTAAATACGAAAGATGGGTCATTATCTGATTTGACCGATATCATGTGGAAGTTTTCGTCAAACTGAGCAATTTGTGTGGTGCGAATACGAAACGAATGGGAGAGAGGGAGAGCGAGCAGGGAAAAAATGCACATCAAAGTTATTATTTGCCCGGAGAGGCACAATTAACTGACAGAGAAAAAAAAAGTGCACCGAGCTAAAAAAAAAAAAACGAAATAAACAAAGCAAATCACGCAAATTGGCAAAGTTTGCAAACGAAAAATATTTTCTTGGAAGAAATTATACTGGCGCAAATATTTTTGCATGCAAATAGATTGAAATCAAATTGCAAATGATGCACAAGAAAATTGCATAAATAGACAGTACAAATGCACTTGTAATCCATTTAAAAGATTTCATTTAGAGTTTCAAGTTCGAGCAAACAAAATAGAGGGATCATTCAGACGAATTTTATTTTGCTACTGCAAATTTGATTATAAAAAAAAAAACAAATCATTTCACGGTAGTCATTCCCCTGACCTGTGTCAATTGTGTGTATCTCTTGCTGAAGCAAAGCTTGAACGGCTGGCTTCAATGTGGGCAATAGTTATAAAATCTATTTTACGGAATATTACCATATTTACATAGAATAAAATTGGGCAAAAAGAGGAGATGATTACTCGAAATATTTATTGTTTTGTCACTTTGACGGTGGTTTTGTTACACGGTGATCTAATTTGTGCACAGAATAATTCAAATTACAGTGAATTGTTAGAAACCATTGGGATTTTTTATTACAGTCCGTAAGTCAATTGAAACGATTGACGCTGGCAAATGATTGGCTGAAGGTCAAAATCGAAGATTTTCTTAAAGACCAAATTGATTTTCCAGATTTTATCACGAGGAACAGTTAGTGCGTAGGTCGGTAAAATTGGATGGTTTTATTGATGATGTACCCATAAAAGTATTAATTCATGGCTATATTGCGAGTCGTTATCACACCTCGATTGAACCAATCAAAAAAGCGTATTTGAATGCCGGAAATGTGAATTTAATGATTGTTGACTGGTCACAGGCCTCGTATCAAATGTATGAAGTATCGCGGAAATTGACATCACAAGTGGCGCTTCGCATCGCACAAATTCTCGACAGTTTCTTGCAAACCAATAACATCGACAGTGGTTTGGTGCATATACTAGGTAAAATCAGAATTATTGGTATACTTGTTTAAGATACATAGGGCACTCATACAAAGTCGCTACCACTTAGGGCATTCGCTTGGTGCGCATATCGCAGGGAATGTTGGCCGCAGTATGAAATCCCGAGTTGGACGGTAAGTAAGAGACAACGATTGCAATTTGTAATCGGTGTACCCAATCAGTGTGTTTCAACACGTTGTTATAATGGATAATACCCGTTTGAAAAAAAAAATGACTGACTGACTATAACTTCAGTTGACTTTAGTTGATCGAATTTATGTTTTTGTTCTAAGAAAATCACTTGGTCCCAAATGAAGCAACTTTGATTGACTTGTAACTTCAAATGATTTCAGTTAACTATGATAGACTTATTTGTACTGAAATGTCAATCAAATTAAGTCATTTTTGTCCCAAACTAGTTAACTGACTGCTCAGTTACTATTTTTTTCACTCGTTCTCTGTGGAGAGCATATAAAATATTGACACTGCCATCCGCCTCCGTTATCGTGCTCTTGTGAATCGTATTTTAAGTGTCTCTCGTAAAGAAACTACGCTTCCACTTGTTATAATGCCAACCAATTCCTTAATGATCTGTTGAAAGTCACTATTTCTTGGCGGCGCTTTTATCGTTTTTCTTCTTCTATTTCGCAGAATAACTGGGCTCGACCCCGCAGCGCCACTCTATTTGAAATGGTCATATGATGCAATTCGGATAACGGACGCCCCATTCGTTGATATTATTCACACCAATGGTGAACGATTGGGAGAATCATGGGCAAGGTGATGAAATTTTTGGTTTTAGAACAAAGAAAAATTTGAAAGTTGAGCATTTCCATTTCTTAACTTCAACTTTCTAATTGAAGTCTCTAATCGTTTCGTTTTTTTTTTCTTCTTCAGAGGACATAGTGACTTTTATCCAAATTTCGGTATTGTATCGCAGCCAGGATGCGAACAAAAAGATGTTTTGACTTTGTGTATGTATTTACTTTGGGGATTTTAGACGAGGAACATATTTTTCATTTTGCGGAATAAAATAACGGAAAAACGCACTCGAAACGCAGCGAACATACCAAGTCAAAAATTCAACTCGACAAACCAATTATGAATTGATAAAAATCAAACATAATGAAACAAAAAAAAATTCTCCCACACACAATATCAATGCTCAATTCAAGTGTTTGTTGACTTGTTTTATGCGGTGTATCGCCATTGTTCGAGCAAACATTTCGAACTTTTTGAGTATTAACTGTTGTTGATGATAAAAAAAAACTACATAAATTCTTTCTAATTTGCTAATTCCAGTTGCATGTAGCCATTTCCGTTCGGTGGACTATTATGCCGAATCAATTTTGAATCCAAATGCTTTCATCGCTCAACCGTGCCCAATCACCGATATTCTACTGCAACGCCATTGCTTCGGAACATTGGACTCGTCGAGTTTGGTTATCATGGGCGAATACACGCCTAGAGAGTAAGAAAATGTTGAAAATACGATTTTAAATACCCAACATAATTGATCTTTTGCGGAAGTTCAACATTATATTTTAATGATTCCATAGTTGAACTATTTTATTCGATTATCAAACAATTCAATATTTAGACTTTCAATAGACTTGCCAATTTTAAATATAAAAAAAAGAATTATTTCCGTTTTGTAGGACTCGAGGAACTTATTTTCTGCGCACTAACAACGTTGCACCGTATGGAAAGGGAAATTATTCGGAGCTCTTTGCATAAAACGAGAATTTTGTTTTTGGAGATCGGTCCTAGTTGAATTTAAATTTCCTCCTATGTTCTTTGTAAATCATATCCAAATGATCAAATTTGACGTTAATACAAGTATAAAAGAATATTGTTCTATTGAATTACTTTCATTGCGACAGCAGAATTATTTATTATCGTTGACCAAAATTAAGGCAGTATATAGAACAGTCGAAAATCCTCTTCTAGTCGGTCAAAAACCTGCCAATAGCAGAACCTTTGAATAATGGAAGCTTGTTCAGTCCCATCAGCCGTTATTCACGGGTTTTTTTTTTTGAACTTTCAGTAGACCGGTATGCCAACTGTTAAAAGTCTCAACTGATAATTACGTTTGCTTGTTTTGAGGAAGGAATGATTTCTTGAAAATCATATGAAACGATTTGTATATGGTGAATATTTTTTTCTATTTACTTTTTTCAGGTACTGTATATTATTGGTAACATTTCATGATTGAATGGAATACAAACAAAAGCATCATGACACAGATGACGTTTTATATTATTGATTACTAATACAAAGTGACTTCGGATTTATATGGCAAAATACACATGACCAAAACTCGGATTTAGAAGGGTTGTTTAATGGTTTTGCACTGGAATGACCGTTTATATGTGCAGTCGAAAAGACTTTATTTTAAACCGTAACCGATATATGCAGTTGAATTTTTATTTTTCGTCTTTTGTCTGCATATTGCCGCTGGCGCTATATGCAGCCGTAATGTTAACCTTATATTTATTTATTATATTAATATTTTTCGACTGCATATAGCTTCTGCTGTTGAATGCAGTCGAAATTATTTAGCTCTGAGAAAGTTTGGCGCGCAAAACTGTACATATTGATGGAATATACTGAATTTAATTAATCAGACTCTATACTATGTTTCATATGCTGTTTATCAATACGTAATAATTGGAATATTTTCTTTTATTTTTCACTTGGACATTTTCGATATATATTGATGGTTTAATTGAATCTACATCGTTCAATTTTTTTGTTACTAACGTCGCCAGTGGCTTTTGGATATGGAAATCAATCCACAGAAGTATAACATATACTTCAGATATAAACTTGACCAAATTTAGCAGACTAATTACCCACACTGATGAATACAGTACAAAACATTTTCATTGCGATAGCAGAATATTTTTTTATCGTTGACCAGAATTAAGGGTGTAAATCAGACCGAATGTACCAGATTAAAGAAGGTGTATATACCGAAATTGCCAAATGTTTCTTTTATACAAACCAGCCGTACTACCTATTTCTATCGGCAAACACAAAATTTTAATTTTTCCAGAATGAAGATTTGAGAAAATTCAGATTACAATTCAAACGAATGATCATTGTATTAAAATAAAAAACAAAACTATAGATTTCTAGCACGGGTAGTATTATTAATATTTAGTCCATACAAAAAAGGAGAGAGAAAAAAAACCAAATACCGAGGGGCAAATCACTCTAAAGTAATTTGTAATAGAGAACGTAATCGAGAAAGTAATTTACGTGTAAAAATCTCGATTACTTTTAGAAAATAAAAAAGTAATCGAGATTTTTACACGTGTTTACATAATAAACAAATGCTTGTCGTATGGGTTGAATTCATAATCCTCTTCATTTACCAGTGAATGTGGAAAAATGTGTTCAAATGAATACAATGTATTCGCTCCTTCATCTCACGCTCTTTTCAGATTAATTTTTTGGTGATCGTACATTTGTTGACGGCAATTTGACAACAGCCGTCGACGTTTGTTTCACATTTTGTGTTGAATGCCCAGAATTCTAAATACTTTGCGCTTGTTGCGATGCATTCGATGGCCAATTGCTTGAAATTTGAACCAGAGCTGGTCTTGGGTTTGAATTTGACATGCCTGGAATACGTTTTATGCTGTTACCTGGTCGAATTATTCGATTTGATGGAGGAATGTTCTCTTTCGGCGTAGCTACCATTGATCGTGACTTTGACATTGTTGCGGCGCTTCTCACAAAAACTCTGTAAATTGCCTGAAATATAGGCAAAGGATGTCGCTTACGATGGCCAATATTTCGAATGAAAAATATTGTACCATTTTTTCAGAACAAGCATTCCTTTTTTTTGAAGAAAAATCGACATTTTTAATGAAAAAAAGTTTTTTAGACCCATGTGAAACATTTGCGGAGAAATTCAGTGCACAGCGGAGCTGTGCGGAGTTCAGCGGAGATGCCATACATACACTATGTCTGAAGCAATGCGCTCATGGCTACTTAGATGTGTATTGAACAATAGAAATGTAAACACATTAAAGAGTGCTGTTTCGCTCACACGTATAGCGTATGTACGGTATCTCCGCCGAACTCCGCACAGCTCCGTTGTACACTGGATATCTCCGCAAATGGTTCATTTGGGTATGTATATCATATCACAGACCATTTTATTTCAATAATTTTCTCGATATAACCGTACACAAATCGTTTAAAATGATGACCATAACAATGGTTTCTATGATCATATTCCAGCAGTTCATAGTACAGTAAAACCTGTCAATAACGGAACCTGGGAAATCGTGTCAATAATGGAAAAAAAATTGGCCGTTGAGCTCTCCCAAACAAATGGACCTGTTAATAACGGAAAAACGAAACTCCGAATAGTGGAAAAAAATTTCTTGAAGAAATATTTTCTCGTCTTTTATTCATCTCTTTTTCATATAAAACTAATTTTTTCCTTTATTAAAACCACTGATCATCATAAAAGTTGTGCAGTACATGTTCAAGAGTGAACAAAAATATATCAAGCATAAATTCACTTGCAA